GCTTTTATAAAGTATAAATACATAGACACATGCAAAAATATACAATCATACCTGGGGCAAGAGACAATTTAGAACCAAATGCATCATTCTTGTTCAACAACAACATAGAAGACGAAAATCCTTTTTCACGGGCAGCAGCAAGGGCTTCTGCACGGAGACGTGAAGCTCGGGTGGGACGAGGAGCAACACTTAAATGCATCATGCTTTGTGACAAACGTTTGCTATTGGCAAGAGAAGAATGCACAGGCAAACATGACTGAACATTTACAGAAGCACAACTTACATTTGAAGCAATGGGAGTAGGATTAGCCAAATGCAACATGCTTTTGGACATAGCACTCATATTAGCACAGTTAAGTTTTCTATTAGCAAGTCTATGGCTATTTACATTATACATGCTTTTACTCATACTTGGGGAAAAAGATTGCGATCCACTGGATGAAGCATTTTTACCAATCTCCTGACGTGCCTCAACATAATGTCGGCGTGGCTGAGCTAGCTGGTCAAGTCTGCTCATGCTGACTGAACGTTTTCCTTGATTACCTGGAGAAGTTGTTCGGGGAACGGTAGCTCTGCTCCAAGGCACTGCTGGAACTAAGTCTGTCTTTCTGCGTCCACGCACACTTGTTGAATTAATAATCATACTCCTTGACATACAGTCATCTGAATAATTAAAAATTAAATCATAATTTATTTTATATGACATCTTAATACATAATATTAATACAAAACTTATATTTACATAATTCTAGAAGTCAAGAATAATCAAAAATGAAAATGTGCAAGCATTGAGATAGCAAAAGTTTAAAATGATTTCCAGTACATTTAACTTCTGTCTAAAAGATATTAAAATTTTTGAAAGAATAACTAAAGAAATTTTAGATTTATACAAGACTGCATATTAATAGAAATACATTCACTAAGTAGAAAATTTGACATGCACATAACAGGCATTTCAATGTAGCTTATTCTCGAAGATAAACAGTAAGTGATGACCTACTGTCATTCTCTTTTGTGGTTGTCAATAATGGTACATAATCTGACCATGTCAGACATGCCCTAGTTTGATTAGAGGCAAATGACAAACAATTTCTTTTCCTCTGTCTATTTTCGTATTGAGGATATTCTGATGAAGCTACTGGTGAAATACTGGTATCTACTGCAAATAGATGATGTTCCTTCAGCATGTTCTATAGGTATTGCTTTTAACAGGTGATAATAACTTATAAAAAATAAAACTATACAAAGATTCAAATTAAAATCAGATCAACTTAAAATAATAAAGGCTAAATAAAAATGGCAATGCATGAAGGATTATTACTAAAAACAACCAAACTGAAAATAGATAAATACCAATTTTTTGTATTAAATTATAAGATGAAGTGTCCTGAGTTTTAGAACCTATAACATCTTTGTCATCTATATGCCGTATGATAGGGAAGAGTATCTCAGACCCATGATAGGGTTGATGACCATCACTAAAGGCTATATTGTTATCTATGCCAGAACTTCCAAAAGCAAATGATAAAGAATTTTTCTGAGCATTTCTCCTTGCTTCAAGTTTTGCTTCTTGTTCAAAACTTTGTTTTAAAATGCCATCTTTCCTATCCTGTAATTTAATAATTCTGAATAAATATTATTTTACACAATTTAATTATTATATTTTTTAAAAAAGTATATATATGTATGTTTTACAAATCCATACTCTTTCTGTATCCCAAATATAACCTTTTCTTTCTTCAATCATTTGCTTCTTTTGATTAACATAATCAATATTTTGACTTCTATCTAAATTATTAATGTGTAATTTTGACTTTTGAGGACTTCTCAAAGCTTCATAGCCATTTAAATCCTTCTCACGTTCTCTTCTTTTAGAAAGATCATCTTTCCTCTCTCTCTGCAAAGTTGAAGGGGAAGAGTCTTTTCCTTCTGTTTAAAATTTAAAAATTTTGTATCAATTAACATTTTATAAGAAGTAATTAACAGTAATAATAAATAAAATGTAATGAACTACTCAAGAGCTGGTCATCATAACAGCTTTGATAAAAAAAAAATATTTTTATCTAGATTATCACTCTATATATTTTATTTATATATATTAATCATTAAATAATTTTTATTCTTATTTTCAAAATAATATAATATTAAAATTTACTTACTAAATCAAATGTAGCAAACAAATATTTTATGGCTTATTCCTTTAAAATTTACACAACAGAATACACTAATAAATGTTTTTAATCTCCAAGATATAATTTTAATAGTTTTATTTTTTCATACTAATGAGTTTAAGATAACTGTAAAAAATATGAATGTATCACTATTATTAACTCAGTTTTAAATACAGGTATACCTCGCCTTATGTCGGTAATTGGTTCCAGGAGAGACGACTTAAGTCGAATTTACTTGTCACTAGGCTAAACCACAAATAACCATTCCCAGTTCTATATTTTATTTATAAATGCATTTAATAATATACAGTAGAGTGTCGTTTATCCAAAAGTCAGTTATCTGAAAGAATTCCAATCGGCAAATTTAAATTTTCGCTAGTGCTGTGGCGCTGCAATCTTTGGCTATATCTTGGGCCACTCCAATATTTTTTTTGTTGGTGTGTGTGTTTTAGCTGGCAGCACTGGCACTTTTGTGTGGTGTTTTTCTGAGGACTGTGTGTGGTGCTGAATCAAACGTTTTTGATACTAGATCAACTTCTAAAGTATATTTTTTTTTGGTTTTTATATTTTTCAATATATTTATTTTGTTTGTAAAAAATAAAGAAATAATTTTTAACGATATAATAGCCAAGATTATTATTTTAAAAAGTTTACGTCAGGCTTAACATCGACGAAAATTCAACGCGAAGCGACACACAATCGAGAAAAATTTCAACACGAGATAGGTTAATATATTTTTTCGTACATAATCGGTTATCCGAACAACCCCAGTCCCCAATTGATTCGGATAAATGACGTCTACTGTATTGTTAATAAGAATCTATTTTAAGCTTACAAACAAATAAATTTTAGTTTTAAATATAGTACAGAAAAAAGTAATCTAAATTTACGAATTCATGTATGTACAGTACATACTTGTAAATGTACATGTTTACAATTTGGCGATGTTTACAGTACATCGTGGACTCTATTTGTGAATGTGGTTTGCTTTAAGACATTATAAAATAAGATGATTTTGTAAGGTTAAATAACAAATACAGTTATTAAAATTATCTTGTGACAGTGGAAAATAAACAAATTTGTATTAAATTTACCAATATCGAGTGGCACTGACGACACCAAACGGTAGATATTGGAACTACCGTGGAAAACACCAACATTGAGCACTTAAAGACCACTAAATAAGACAACAACACAGTCACAGATGTTTTCATGTTTCGTTCTCTAGGATTTATGATGATTATATTAACATTTATTGTAAATGTACATATTTTAATATGATTATATGTGCTTTAACACTTTTCTAGTGATATTACAATTTCAATATTTGTGGCGGACAGACAAAGTCAAATAAAATGACTTAAACTTTATTTTTATTTTTCCATATATATTTTTTGACAAACGACATATAATCGAGAATGACATAACTCAAAATGACATAACTCGAGGTATACCTGTACTTTAATCAAGTAATAAAAGTAATTTTCATAATTAATAAAATGCTAGTTGTTAATAGCAAAATAACGTTAAACAAATGAAAAATTGTTTACTCTATGGGATAAAGCAATGTAACATCATCTGCTAAAGTGTCTTTCAGAAGGATTTGATGTGAGGAAGTGATCCTTAAGTTGTTAAACATATGAAGAAACCTTAGAAAATTCCACATGACCAGCTCATTGGTCAGTTACAAACCTAGAGCCAGCTACCAATGTTTAGTGATTTTTATTCACTCTGCCACTGATGGGCCAAATAAAAATTGATGACTCTCAAACTTCAGAATATACGAATGAGCCAACATTTTTCGACAGAACTTTCCAAGAAATTCTAAGTCACAATGCAGCAGATTTAGAATTTCCTGCACAACGTATGCAAAGATTTATATAATTGGACATTTTCAATAACTATGTAAACTATATAACATTCTGGACTTTTGTATAAGATGAATTTTGCAAGCAAGCTATAATATTTAACTGCTGCAGCTGTACTCCTCCTGCACATATGCTCGAATCATATTACTATAAACCCAAGTTCCTATTCTACATAGAGTTATACCAAATGAGATAAGCTACAATTCAGAATTTTGACAGTCAGCTCAGTTTGAGTCCAAAACTGCAGACTGACTCACAGCTTAGTTCATGTCCAATTTATATTCTAAATTTTTGTAATTTGAGATAGTCTTGGTCCCATCCACTTCAAATTATTAGTAATCTACTCCTCTACATGTTTTGCTAAAAATAATTGTTATTTGTATTACATTAATTTAAAAGATTACCCTTTGTTACTTTTAATAATTCTCTTTATCTAAAAATTGTCTGTGGTTTAATTGCTTAATGTTCAAGTAGTTTTTATTTCAATTCTCTCATTTCAACGACAGATAAATGAAAACAATCCAACATATTGTGTATCTGTTACAGATGCAATTTAATTTCAAAACTGGGCTTTGCTGCAACACTCCAGATCAGTTCTGATCCAAATTCACAGTTTAGTTTGCAACTTGCCTGTCAAGAACTCAGCTCAACATTTCAAATAGCTGAGATAAGATAATAGTACATGTCAAATCTATCTGAAATTTCAATATGTTCAGGTTTTTGAACAACAGAACTTATAAAGGAATAAGAAAATAAATTTATGTTGTATGTCTTTGTAAGAAAGCCCTTACTGAAAGATTACAATAAAGTGATCACATGCTATTATCATATTTCTGTTGTTCCAAAAATAATAAAAATTCTGCATTAATTTATTGTTAATTTTTTTAAACACTTAGGNATAATGGCAAATTACTAATTTTGATTTTTAATGCAATAAATTCCAGGAACATTAACTATTCTCTTACCTTTTGACACATTCTACTTCCTTTTCTTCATTACTGTTATATCCATTGGTTTGAATGTCAGCAGCATTTACTTTACATTCAGATGTATCACAGCTATCAATTTTATCACTAGCTTTATCATTGTCTATCATTATAAATGAACTTTGTTTGGAGTCAGGTGTCACCTTATTAAAATTCTCTACAGGTAATGTGCTTTCTGTTGTGACTGAAGACTTTTTGCCATTTATTTCAACACTTTTAGAATCTACAACAGTTTGTTCTTTCTCTACACTGCTTTCCTTTTTATTGTCACTTAGTTTCTCAGACAACACATTGTTGTTTGGAGCATCATCTTTCTGTTTGTCCTGAATGGACGATATGGCTAATAGAACACTTGAAGGTATCTGTCCAGAAGCTGCTAATTTTAATGTGGTTTCTGTTAGTATATTATTGCTTACAGGTTTCTCCAATGGTTCCGGTTGCTGTTGACCAGCTTTTCCTCTTGTTCTACTCATTATTTGTTCTACTCTCTGTAGAAATATACTTTTTAGTGTACTATTCTCATTTCACAATTTTGAAACAAATTCTAGCAATTATTTTAAACTAATAAATTTTGATACTATATTTTTTTTACCCTTTTTCTTTCAGCTCTCTCAGCTTCCTCTCTTTTCAATCTCTCTTCTAATTCCTTATGTTGTCTTTCTGCTTCTTCGCGTGCTTTCCGCTCCTGTTCTTCTCTTTCTGCCTTCTATAAATAAATCATTATGTAAAAAAGTTTTCTTTCCATTACAAATAATATATTATTGCTACAAACCAATTTTTCTTCCTCTTCTCTTTTCTTCTGTTCCTCTTGTTCTCTCCTCTCCCTCTCTTCAATTGCTTTCTTTAATTTTTCTTCTTCTTGCCGTCTTAATTCTTCCATTAATCTAAGTTGTTCCTCTTCTAATCTTTTCTGCTCTTCTTCTTCTTTCCTTCTTTTTTCTTCTTCTAATCGACTGTAAACATATACATAATACATTAAGATTGTATGATACTTTGTAAATATAAATTATCCAAAACAGATTATATCATTTTTTACAATAAACAATAATATCTAATTGGGATGCAATTTGAAAAAATTGTAGACCTATAAATTCCCACTGTAGTCCATCTGTCTGTCCTTCCTTAATCTTGAGAAGAGTTAGATAGATGAAAGCTGAGACCAGATATGGAAAGCTTAGGGGCAGGACGCCCAGATTAACTATATATATAAACTTTTGGTCAGGACCAGAAATCATATTATTTCAATTAAAAAATTTTTCCCTGAAAGAAATTGGATAGATGACTAGCACAACTCAGGGAGAGCTAGGCTGGCAGGAGAAGTATGATGTACAGGGGCAAGACACTTAGTTTGAAGTGGAGAGCATATATTTTGAATTAAATTAATTAAAAATATGGTTAAAAATTGCAGCCTGGCATTGTGATGATGTCACAATAAATAACTGCTCATTTTAAATTTGTATATTATTTTTAAAAAGTTTCCTTAAAATTTTGAATTATTCAAACTTTCAAATTCTTGTAGTGTGAAGAACTCTCAAGTCATAGTAAAAGTGACTTGTTATTTTGACTATAATGATTCTGATACCAGTTAATTATATGTTTGATAATGATTTATTAGTTCAGACTACACAATGATTTATTGCTGAATATGCAACTTTAGAAACATATAAATAAGAGAATGTAGCATGCACTAGTCCAAATTATTGTTGAAAAGTTAACAGCATTATTGGATCTTTTATAATTATATTTTAACATATATACAAAAAGCTGATTCTATAAATGGAGTCTTTAAATATCTGAGAAACATAAGAGGCAATTTGTTTTTGAACCCATTTGTCAAATCTAGTTTATTGTCTATTTCTTCAAAAATGCCAAACAAATTTTTATATTGAGAAAAAATAAAATTAAAATCTAAATGTTACTTTGATAGTTTTTGCAGATAAGATAAATATTTGCATTTCTTGAATTCAGAATAAATAATTTTTCTAAATTATTAAGAAAGAAATATTTGCAAAAACAACTTTCTATTAAATATGTAAAATGCTATAATTAACAACACAATCCTCATGTTGTTTCGTATAATTAAGGAAAATATAATTTCATGTTTATTACTTTTAATAATTCAGAATTTTATTTCATTATATAATATTCTTCAAATGCTTATTGATTCACATGTTAACAGAATAGTATATAGTAATGCAAATATCATTTGAAAAGTTTAATTATCCAAATAAAACTTTGTTTTCAGTCTAGTAATTGATATAAATATTCATACCGTAATTCCTCCTGTCTTTGTCTTTCTAATTCTGCCTCTCTTTCTGCTTGTTCTCTTGCTAATCGTCTCTTTTCCTGCAGTGCAGCTTTTGCTTCTTCTTCAGAAGTAATTCTGGGCTTATTTAAAGTAGTAATTTCCTCTTCATTACTTTCTGGAATATTTGGAGGTGAAGGAGATTTTCTAACTGGTTCAACAGTTTGTTCAACAGTCTTTGGTTGTGGAGGCAAGCTTACAGGCTGAGGAGAAATGCTATGATCAAACTGTAAAACATTCATTTGTATTTTAGAAAATACATATATTAATTAAAACAGAAAAGCAAATTTCTAAGACATTTGATGTATTAAAAAACAAATATTAAATATTAATTTATACCTTGCTATCATTATCCTTCTTTTCCACAATTGTTGCACTTGTTGGACTTGGTTTTTGAGCTACTGGAGGTTTTGATGTAACTTTAGCTACTGAAAGTTTAGCAGCTGATCCAGAAGCTATAAAAAATAAATTGATATCAGTTACATTTAAATTTTATTAAAACTATTTTTAATTCTTTTAAAACAAGTACCTTTCTTTTCAATTGGTCTACTTGGCCTTTGTTGTTCTTTTGGAACAGTAACAGAACTTTTTAACGAATGATCTGGTATTGTTCCAGCAATGCTAATGGGCCGAGGTTTTAATTTTGTTGTTTTCTGGCGCATAGTAACTTTTGGTTGCTGAGTCTGCACAGAGGGTTCAGTTGCAGTAGAAAGAGAACTACGTGGTCGAGCTGGAGAATGAGATACTTCCTTACGCATGGCTAAATTATAAATGAACAATTTCCACTAGTGAGAAAAAATACTTGTATATCCAATAAATCTAATGTACAAATATATCTATATCTTTGTTTTAACTAAAAAACTTAATTTTAATAATCTAAAACAAAAAAAATAACAATAATTCATATTTAAAAATGAGTAAAATATTAAAATTATCTTCCAGCCATTTTTATTACACTAGAAACATTCATTTAAACATATTAAATATAAACTTATTTTACATAAACCTTTAACGTGAACCTTATTACAAATTTCTGAATATTCTAATCTGAATTATAGTTTTAAATTACAATACTTAAACAACTCTAATTAAAATTAAAGACATTAATTTTATGTGAAATTCTGCTACCAGGAGAATATAAGTAATTTTAATGATAAAACATAAATCTTTTTTATACCTTTTCAACCATCAACTCTTCTAAATTCTAAGTGGATCTAAGCATTTTGATTTATTAATTCATGCAAATATTTATGATATACATGCTAAATATAATTAATAACTGCCTAGAAGCTTTTATAAAGTATAAATACATAGACACATGCAAAAATATACAATCATACCTGGGGCAAGAGACAATTTAGAACCAAATGCATCATTCTTGTTCAACAACAACATAGAAGACGAAAATCCTTTTTCACGGGCAGCAGCAAGGGCTTCTGCACGGAGACGTGAAGCTCGGGTGGGACGAGGAGCAACACTTAAATGCATCATGCTTTGTGACAAACGTTTGCTATTGGCAAGAGAAGAATGCACAGGCAAACATGACTGAACATTTACAGAAGCACAACTTACATTTGAAGCAATGGGAGTAGGATTAGCCAAATGCAACATGCTTTTGGACATAGCACTCATATTAGCACAGTTAAGTTTTCTATTAGCAAGTCTATGGCTATTTACATTATACATGCTTTTACTCATACTTGGGGAAAAAGATTGCGATCCACTGGATGAAGCATTTTTACCAATCTCCTGACGTGCCTCAACATAATGTCGGCGTGGCTGAGCTAGCTGGTCAAGTCTGCTCATGCTGACTGAACGTTTTCCTTGATTACCTGGAGAAGTTGTTCGGGGAACGGTAGCTCTGCTCCAAGGCACTGCTGGAACTAAGTCTGTCTTTCTGCGTCCACGCACACTTGTTGAATTAATAATCATACTCCTTGACATACAGTCATCTGAATAATTAAAAATTAAATCATAATTTATTTTATATGACATCTTAATACATAATATTAATACAAAACTTATATTTACATAATTCTAGAAGTCAAGAATAATCAAAAATGAAAATGTGCAAGCATTGAGATAGCAAAAGTTTAAAATGATTTCCAGTACATTTAACTTCTGTCTAAAAGATATTAAAATTTTTGAAAGAATAACTAAAGAAATTTTAGATTTATACAAGACTGCATATTAATAGAAATACATTCACTAAGTAGAAAATTTGACATGCACATAACAGGCATTTCAATGTAGCTTATTCTCGAAGATAAACAGTAAGTGATGACCTACTGTCATTCTCTTTTGTGGTTGTCAATAATGGTACATAATCTGACCATGTCAGACATGCCCTAGTTTGATTAGAGGCAAATGACAAACAATTTCTTTTCCTCTGTCTATTTTCGTATTGAGGATATTCTGATGAAGCTACTGGTGAAATACTGGTATCTACTGCAAATAGATGATGTTCCTTCAGCATGTTCTATAGGTATTGCTTTTAACAGGTGATAATAACTTATAAAAAATAAAACTATACAAAGATTCAAATTAAAATCAGATCAACTTAAAATAATAAAGGCTAAATAAAAATGGCAATGCATGAAGGATTATTACTAAAAACAACCAAACTGAAAATAGATAAATACCAATTTTTTGTATTAAATTATAAGATGAAGTGTCCTGAGTTTTAGAACCTATAACATCTTTGTCATCTATATGCCGTATGATAGGGAAGAGTATCTCAGACCCATGATAGGGTTGATGACCATCACTAAAGGCTATATTGTTATCTATGCCAGAACTTCCAAAAGCAAATGATAAAGAATTTTTCTGAGCATTTCTCCTTGCTTCAAGTTTTGCTTCTTGTTCAAAACTTTGTTTTAAAATGCCATCTTTCCTATCCTGTAATTTAATAATTCTGAATAAATATTATTTTACACAATTTAATTATTATATTTTTTAAAAAAAGTATATATATGTATGTTTTACAAATCCATACTCTTTCTGTATCCCAAATATAACCTTTTCTTTCTTCAATCATTTGCTTCTTTTGATTAACATAATCAATATTTTGACTTCTATCTAAATTATTAATGTGTAATTTTGACTTTTGAGGACTTCTCAAAGCTTCATAGCCATTTAAATCCTTCTCACGTTCTCTTCTTTTAGAAAGATCATCTTTCCTCTCTCTCTGCAAAGTTGAAGGGGAAGAGTCTTTTCCTTCTGTTTAAAATTTAAAAATTTTGTATCAATTAACATTTTATAAGAAGTAATTAACAGTAATAATAAATAAAATGTAATGAACTACTCAAGAGCTGGTCATCATAACAGCTTTGATAAAAAAAAAATATTTTTATCTAGATTATCACTCTATATATTTTATTTATATATATTAATCATTAAATAATTTTTATTCTTATTTTCAAAATAATATAATATTAAAATTTACTTACTAAATCAAATGTAGCAAACAAATATTTTATGGCTTATTCCTTTAAAATTTACACAACAGAATACACTAATAAATGTTTTTAATCTCCAAGATATAATTTTAATAGTTTTATTTTTTCATACTAATGAGTTTAAGATAACTGTAAAAAATATGAATGTATCACTATTATTAACTCAGTTTTAAATACAGGTATACCTCGCCTTATGTCGGTAATTGGTTCCAGGAGAGACGACTTAAGTCGAATTTACTTGTCACTAGGCTAAACCACAAATAACCATTCCCAGTTCTATATTTTATTTATAAATGCATTTAATAATATACAGTAGAGTGTCGTTTATCCAAAAGTCAGTTATCTGAAAGAATTCCAATCGGCAAATTTAAATTTTCGCTAGTGCTGTGGCGCTGCAATCTTTGGCTATATCTTGGGCCACTCCAATATTTTTTTTGTTGGTGTGTGTGTTTTAGCTGGCAGCACTGGCACTTTTGTGTGGTGTTTTTCTGAGGACTGTGTGTGGTGCTGAATCAAACGTTTTTGATACTAGATCAACTTCTAAAGTATATTTTTTTTTGGTTTTTATATTTTTCAATATATTTATTTTGTTTGTAAAAAATAAAGAAATAATTTTTAACGATATAATAGCCAAGATTATTATTTTAAAAAGTTTACGTCAGGCTTAACATCGACGAAAATTCAACGCGAAGCGACACACAATCGAGAAAAATTTCAACACGAGATAGGTTAATATATTTTTTCGTACATAATCGGTTATCCGAACAACCCCAGTCCCCAATTGATTCGGATAAATGACGTCTACTGTATTGTTAATAAGAATCTATTTTAAGCTTACAAACAAATAAATTTTAGTTTTAAATATAGTACAGAAAAAAGTAATCTAAATTTACGAATTCATGTATGTACAGTACATACTTGTAAATGTACATGTTTACAATTTGGCGATGTTTACAGTACATCGTGGACTCTATTTGTGAATGTGGTTTGCTTTAAGACATTATAAAATAAGATGATTTTGTAAGGTTAAATAACAAATACAGTTATTAAAATTATCTTGTGACAGTGGAAAATAAACAAATTTGTATTAAATTTACCAATATCGAGTGGCACTGACGACACCAAACGGTAGATATTGGAACTACCGTGGAAAACACCAACATTGAGCACTTAAAGACCACTAAATAAGACAACAACACAGTCACAGATGTTTTCATGTTTCGTTCTCTAGGATTTATGATGATTATATTAACATTTATTGTAAATGTACATATTTTAATATGATTATATGTGCTTTAACACTTTTCTAGTGATATTACAATTTCAATATTTGTGGCGGACAGACAAAGTCAAATAAAATGACTTAAACTTTATTTTTATTTTTCCATATATATTTTTTGACAAACGACATATAATCGAGAATGACATAACTCAAAATGACATAACTCGAGGTATACCTGTACTTTAATCAAGTAATAAAAGTAATTTTCATAATTAATAAAATGCTAGTTGTTAATAGCAAAATAACGTTAAACAAATGAAAAATTGTTTACTCTATGGGATAAAGCAATGTAACATCATCTGCTAAAGTGTCTTTCAGAAGGATTTGATGTGAGGAAGTGATCCTTAAGTTGTTAAACATATGAAGAAACCTTAGAAAATTCCACATGACCAGCTCATTGGTCAGTTACAAACCTAGAGCCAGCTACCAATGTTTAGTGATTTTTATTCACTCTGCCACTGATGGGCCAAATAAAAATTGATGACTCTCAAACTTCAGAATATACGAATGAGCCAACATTTTTCGACAGAACTTTCCAAGAAATTCTAAGTCACAATGCAGCAGATTTAGAATTTCCTGCACAACGTATGCAAAGATTTATATAATTGGACATTTTCAATAACTATGTAAACTATATAACATTCTGGACTTTTGTATAAGATGAATTTTGCAAGCAAGCTATAATATTTAACTGCTGCAGCTGTACTCCTCCTGCACATATGCTCGAATCATATTACTATAAACCCAAGTTCCTATTCTACATAGAGTTATACCAAATGAGATAAGCTACAATTCAGAATTTTGACAGTCAGCTCAGTTTGAGTCCAAAACTGCAGACTGACTCACAGCTTAGTTCATGTCCAATTTATATTCTAAATTTTTGTAATTTGAGATAGTCTTGGTCCCATCCACTTCAAATTATTAGTAATCTACTCCTCTACATGTTTTGCTAAAAATAATTGTTATTTGTATTACATTAATTTAAAAGATTACCCTTTGTTACTTTTAATAATTCTCTTTATCTAAAAATTGTCTGTGGTTTAATTGCTTAATGTTCAAGTAGTTTTTATTTCAATTCTCTCATTTCAACGACAGATAAATGAAAACAATCCAACATATTGTGTATCTGTTACAGATGCAATTTAATTTCAAAACTGGGCTTTGCTGCAACACTCCAGATCAGTTCTGATCCAAATTCACAGTTTAGTTTGCAACTTGCCTGTCAAGAACTCAGCTCAACATTTCAAATAGCTGAGATAAGATAATAGTACATGTCAAATCTATCTGAAATTTCAATATGTTCAGGTTTTTGAACAACAGAACTTATAAAGGAATAAGAAAATAAATTTATGTTGTATGTCTTTGTAAGAAAGCCCTTACTGAAAGATTACAATAAAGTGATCACATGCTATTATCATATTTCTGTTGTTCCAAAAATAATAAAAATTCTGCATTAATTTATTGTTAATTTTTTTAAACACTTAGGTAAATTAATTTATAATTATAAAAGTTTATAAAACTTGACACCCTGAAAAATTTTAAAACTTTTCAAGACTGAATAAAAGTTAAATCATCATATAGTATTTTTAGTCAAAATATCTTAGTTACCCTAGAGTGAAGCATTAAAAATTACTATTACATATACATTACAATCATATATTTAAAGATGTTTTCAAATGTGACATTCTGCAACAATAAGGAAAACTATTTATATATTTCACAAAAAATATTCACAAAAATACAATTTTCAAAAAAATATTAAAATTAATTATAGATATACAGTCAAAATCTTGGCACAGTGATTATCAATATAGCAATAAATAACTCTATAATGATAAAAAATCTAGTTCCTTTGTAATTTGTATTAGCTTAACATAAAACTTCTCCTGATTGAATGATATCCTCTAATGTGATAAATCTGTTTAGTAATATATAGCTTTTTTTTTACTTTTCTCATAAAATACACAATATTTTCCCTTTCCTAAAATAATAATAATGTAGTAAATTAAATTATATTTTTATTAATTGTACAGTATAGCTTGTTCTTGAAATCAAAATGTGGTATTTTCTTAAGGTAAAGCGATTCATCACAAACATTATCTGCAGTCAGCAGGCATCAATAAAAATGAGACCAGGTTTCCAGATTTAGCATGTTCTGGATAGTTTAGTATCTAAATTTTTTGTTTAGCACTTAAAATTAATCATTATTTTTTTGCTTTGTTTGGCTGAAATGTTAGCCATTGAGCAAAATTTTTGCATAACATTTAACATTAAAGAGGAAAGAAACCAGTTTTAATTTTTTCTAGAACAATTTAGTACTTTTTATGAATTTTTAGTTTTTCAAAAAATTATATATTACAGTAAACCATACATTACAGTCAAAACTCAAATTCTTGCTGAATTTGATCTTACTAGGTAAAAGTAATTACAGTGGTGCCTTGACTTAAGAGTTTAATTTGTTCCACAACAGAACTCGTAACTCAAATTACTCATATATCAAATCAATTTTCTCCATTGAAATTAATTGAAATGCCATTAATCTGTTTCAAACTTCCCAAAACACTGCAATTTTTTTGTTACATGTTTTTAAATAAGAAAAATGTACTTATAAATAATGAATATGGTATAAAACACAATAGAACGTATTGCAATAAACTGGTTTTGAGGATGTTGCGGCATTTGCTGCATAGATAAAGAAAGAAAAGATGGAAAATTTGAGAAATGAGACAAAATGATGCTACACACAACATGGAGGTGAACTAATGTTACGTGACTCCATCACATGTTTTCCTATAAGCTAGCCTGTCAGACATTGAAAGAGTAATGAAAATGACAAAATTATGGCAGTTTTCCATCTTCTTTTTCTTAATCTATGGTTCGCTATGGCATTCGCTGTGCCAACTAGCAGTGGGGTATCTGAAGCTGGCTCATAACCTGAATTTTAGCTCTCAACTCAAAGCAAAAAATCAGCCAAGACACATCTTGTATCTCAAAAACTCATAAGTTGGGACACTCTTAAGTCAAGGTACCACTGTATAACAAAATCTTTTATACTTTTAGAATTAGTGTAAATTGCAACACAGACATCTCTATATAATTTCTAGTGAAACTTTGTTATGTTAAATTCACTTAACATAATATAGTTCTCTTAGAATTTGCAGAAGTATGCCTTGGTATTGCAGATTGCTTTTTGTAATCATTTTAATAACTTTATTCTTCTTATTAAATTATATTTTAGGATTAGTTTAGTTTTTTACTTTGTTTTACTTAGTTCATTTTTGCCTAAGAAGATTCAGGTTCTGTTTGATTTTAATGTTTAACATAATACATTAAACATTAAAATCTAAATTGAATAAAATCATGCAAAGAAGTATTATTTGTTTTTTCTAGTCTGAGATTTAAATGATTTTATTGCAAAAAAACACAATAAAATCATTTAAATCTTGTACCAGAGGAAACTAATAATACTACATATTTTT